TTCGTTGAGTTGTTCCAGCTGACAAGGTGAAGGGATTTCTTGGTGTGTGCAGGTATTTCTGTCACCCGCGTGCCGGGTTAATTGGGTACGGATATTCATGTACATAAAACAGGTGGCTGGTGGCTAGTGGCTGGTAATTACCAGCCCTGGTAATACGCGACATGTATGCAATAGCCGAAGGGGCTGGTATTGTAACAGCATGAGCCCCAAATTCGGCGCGGATCCGGCGCAATCCGAAGCGGATCCACGGCGCATCGTCCAGGGTGCCCGGCAACCCTTCAAGTGGGGCGTTATCCGGTACCTTGGCGCAGGAGGCTTGGCATGTGCAGGACTTTTGCTTGCCGACCTCTACAGCATTACTAAAATCTATCTAGATAAGGCAATCTAATGGGATGCATGCATGTGCGGAGCCCGCAGGGCATTGCCACGCTAGTCCGTAGGTTCGAGGCGGGAACAGTGACAAAGCTAGTTGGCCAAGAGCCTCAGAGGATACATCGTGGCCATTGGGTTGGCCAAGAGCATCTGCCCTCAAATCGTGACAAGTCCATGTTAAAACCAAGCACCTGGGTCCCTGACTTCGACGCCCAAATGGTCTTCGAATTACTGCCAAAGCCCATCGGCAATTCATCGCCACGCCATTGCTTCCCCCTTTGGCAGCACATCGTCAAGGAACTTACATAGTTGCGTACCATTAGGGTCCGCTAGCCCAGCCCTATATTTGTTCCACCAGTCGACGTTCGTCCGCTGCGGAGCCAAATTCCACGCAACGAGAGACTGCTCTTCCGTTCCTGTCAACTTTAATCGCGAATAAGTACGACGGTAAGATCCGTGTCCTTCTTGGTCGTCGAAACGCCGGACTCTCATCTTCGACCCGATGCGATCTTCGACGGCGAAGACACGAAAGACTAGCAGTGCCGTTGAGAGCAGTAGGACCACAACGGTAGCAAGCTGACTCGCGAGTGCACTCATGCCGAGACTGATGACGTGGACGCCAAAGCATAGCCACGCTATGTATCGAGCCAGGTGATAGCGGCGATGATGAAGGGGTACCGGTCGTGGGAGAAGCACCTTCGTCAAAATGCCTCGCGAGGTGAATAGCGTCAGAGCTTTGCCGTCGGGGAATTGGACCAGGCATTTCACACCTATCCGCGCCGGATCATGCTCGGGCACCGTACCGACCGCCGTATCAATCGAATGTACCAACTCGTGGAGAATGCACCGCCGGCACATGACCGAGATGATCAATGAGACGGCGTTTACGAATGCCCACCAGTCCTCCGTCAGGCCGGCAAGCAGCACCATGGACACCAGCACCACGCTCGAGACGATGATCGAGAGCGCATTGTCCCAGCGCGAGAACGATGCGCCTTTTGCATCATAGGCGAGGTGTAAAAAGGACGAGCATTGCGTGACATCCTGCGCGGCCAGCCACCTCGTGAACCACGGCGCCAGCTGCGAGGTGACGACCGCGTCGCTGAAATTGTACACCGCGTAGCCTGGCTGGGCTTGATTGATGTCATCGCCGGCGACCACGTTGAGGGCCAGGAAGGGGAGATGGTCCACGAAACGGTTCCGCGAAAGGCGGCCGACGGCTTGATCTACCGGGCCGGCGCCGAGGAGGGTGACCAGCCCGAGGGCGTCGATTTTGAACGGAGCCCAATTTTTGACTTGCTTGAGAGCGATCATGTGGTGCGGGTGCGTAGAATCCATGAGATGGGGAAAGGAAGAATGTGCAAAGGTCCCTGGAGATATAAGGCCGCCACGATTCCTTACTGAGGCGGTGCAATGAACGGCGCGGTCAGCTAGATCGCAAGCGTGGCAGAAGCTGGTTATTTTCGAATTTGGCTTTCTTGGCCCCCCTCGAGTGGCTGTACGAGCTAAGGGTTCATTCGAACTGGTGTCACAACGGCGTCAGAGTCGATCAATGGTGTCGAACGTAATTATCCTAGTCATGAATTAATTCCACTTGGATGGCGTTCTGTCGAAATATTCAAGGAGCATGAGTTGCCCACCCAGCATATCCCCGCGGGCCAACGTAGTCCACAAACCGAAGTGTTTCATGTATACGCGACGAGTGGGATGACTTGGGGGCCAAATCTCGACACCCTTCGCCTATGATCTACCTGTATCAGACGGTGCCAGATCCTGTACACTGTACTTCCACCGACTTGCCCCAGTCTGCGCATTTGCAAGAATGGCCCACAAGGTACGCTGCTGACATTCGATCGGTACTCTAGTGTCGGAGTCCGTTACCAATCCCTCGACGTCGGCCGGCCCGAGACGGGCATCAGGGCCGTGAGACGCCCGGTTCAGGTTGGCTTCGGGAGTATGACTGCACCGTGGCCTTTGACTACCCTGGTGCCGGGTTCGCCGGATGGGTGGCAGTGTAAGGAAGACGGGTCCGTGGGACGACGATACCAATGTATTTGCGCCATCCTGTCCGCTGGTTCGAATCGGATCAACTTGGGTTGCACGGTTGTTCAGGTATTGCAGAATGCGTCTATACGATTGTCAAGGTATCTAATGTCTTGCCGTCTAATTTGAATCCGTCCAACCAGATATCGTCTGCACTCAACGGATCACCATCCACTAGTGGAACGTACTGTGTGTGTGCGTTCTGCACTCTCAGATCCCTGACCTGGAATGTTCCTACGCGCCGAAACTCTCGAATACACTGCCCAGTGAGTTGCAGGAGCAGTCCCCTCGCTCGTAGACCTCCGTTGGTCTCATACGTGATGCTCTTCACGGGCAGAACGTATACGCTACCGGGAGGATCTGATACATCAAGGTTCGGAATATAATCTACCTGCTCGAGTTTTCCGTTGTCGTAGATGTCATATTTGACAGTTGTCAGTTCGCCCAACCTCCCCCCATCGGAGATCTCTTTCCATATCCTACCCCTTACCAATGATCCTCGAAGACGAAGCGAGCCGCTAGTGACCTGGCTTAGAGGATGATCGTTGATCGTTTGGACATCCAGATCAACTATCTGGATCAGCGTATTGTCGTCCGTTGTATCCCTGATAAGACAGGGGCTCGTGATAGGGACGACAAAGGACGCCCACGACCAGCTTGGAGCGATGTACTTTTGTGGTTTGACCATCCCCCGGCTACGAGCTGGGGACCAAAGAAGCTGGTCTGCAAGATATTTCTCCCAGAGACCAGCGAAGTATCTCCGTTCCAAGAGTTCCTGAATACGCTGCGCCAGACCCATGATCGCAACGAACTTATCGTCTTCCATCGTAAGGCTTGCCTGGGTATAGGCCTCGACTATCGAATTCCATAGCTCATAGACGTTCAGCTCGGGATGGGATACTCGTCCACGGCGCTCCCTAGCCCGGGCTCCTTCAATGTCGGGGTCAATTCCTTTAAACATGGCCTCGTGCGACTGTTGAAGTTGAGGTGGCACGCCATGAGGAAAGATCTCGCAGGTCTGTCTCTCTCGACATTCCCAGAAGATTTGCCGTTGACTGAAGTGAATTACTCTTCTTGATAGGAGCCGCTCTTGCACAACCCAAGCCCTACGAGTCAACGGTGCGTTATCAATATTGCCAGACCAGATATCACAGTCTACACATAGATAAGTACCAGGAGGTAAGTCTTCACCCCCAGCAATCTTAATTCGCAATGGTCGAACAAGGAGCGGGGAACGGTCGAAGAAGCATCCATCTCTACCATCGACGGCGCCAGTAGCTGAGATATTGCAGAACGCATTAGCGTATATGGCGTGCATCTTCGTAGATTCTTCGAACCAATCAGATCGATTAGGCGAGTCCTGTATGATACAGAGAGAGTCAATCCAGATGTATCTTTCGCCTAATGCCTTGACGACAAGCATGGCTTCTTTGAAGGTTTTAGAGATCGCCGGCTCAAGCACCTTCTTGCGCATTTGTTCGATATTGTCTGTTCGCAAACACAAGATTCTATGATCGCCCCAGCGATGACTCAACGTCAGATACCTGAATCCCACTTTCAGGTTGGATGTTTCGCATAAACGTGGCTCAACCTCCTGGCCACAACCGACATCAATAAGACGTGCTGGGTACATGTTCTCGCTGCTCGATAGTGAACGACATCTGGAATGATTTTGCAGACAATCTTCATACCAGCGCTTTATTTGCGGCCAGGACTCCGAAAGCCTTGTGGAACTAGCAACAACGGTATTGCAGACTAAGTCCTTGACATCTAAGCACACGTCAGACAAAGAGCCGAGGCATCTTGCGATTCATCAGATCCAGTTCTCTATAGCATGGCCAACCTACCCTCGATCTGAATGAGTGAGAAATCCAGCTTGGCAACCAGAGGGACAGGGTTTTTTAGCGGAATCGCAGCATTTTGGTTCGCCTTGTTTTCCAGTGCTGGACCTCAATCCGGTGTTCATGTTTCACAATCTCATTTCGCTGTTCACGTGAAAGTCTGTCCCAGCGGATGGCGCAGAAGCGGCATCCATTTGTTGCAGACTCTGGGAAGCCTCCTAGCGTGTGTCTGTACATCTGGTAATCTTTTGCCTCTACGAAGAGAGCCTGGCAGGCTTGGCAAAGGTCTTCGTTCTCCATGGAAGAGAGTGTGGCATCTATAGCAGCAGAATAATCTGCTAGATAATAGCACTAACCCGGAAGGGCCGTCCCACCCCGGGCTAAAGCTGTCTGTCATCTCGGCCGACGCCCGACGCCCCAGGGCTCGAAGACGGGTCCGACAACTCTTTTTTGCTTCATTTTGCCGATGTACTAGGGAGTTTCAGGCCACTTTTTTTTTGCTGTGGTTTTTTCAGGTTTTCAGACTTTCAGCAGTGGTTTTTTCAGGAGGCCTGAACACCTGAAGACCCCACATATAAAAATAAGGCCATTTCTGTGGTTTTATGATAGATTTGCCACATATAGCCCTAGCCCTAGCTTCCGAGAATGCTCCATAGTTTTCTCCGCATATAGTCATAGAGTATTCTACTTAATACCACTATTAGCCATTATTCCTACTATTAGCAACTATAACTCGCTTATCTAATAAGGAGATATAGAGACATGAGGTGTTTAATCTCTTTCTTATCAGCCTTAGAAGACACAATAGAAGATATCCTAAAACGAGAAAATGGCTAGCAGTCCATAAGGCCTTTATGAAGGAACGCTATATGGAATCAAGAACCCTTATACTACTAGTAGTGCCTTCGGGGATAGGCCCAAAGGGCTTTTTTTGCGTCATTGAGGAGGCTAAAAGGTATTAAGGAGGATAGGAGGTGTTGAGGAGAGTGTAGATATTTGAAGGATCGTAATAGTGGTAATAATATTATTAATAAGTAGTAATAGTAGTAGTAGTAGTAGTAGAAGTGGTAGAATAGTCTTATTTAGCTACTAGATCTATAGAATCTATTAAAAAACCACGGCTGAAAAAACCATTAAACCAAAAAAAAGGCACTCCGGAGTCCCATTATTTTCAGACGTGGTACTTTCAGGTTTTCAGACTTTCAGTGATTTGCCACCGAAATGTGGTGGCAAATCACTGAAAGTCTGAAAACCTGAAAGTACCACGCGGAAAAAAAGTGGCCTGAAACTCCCTATTAGTACCATGTACATTAAAATCACAGTTAGCTGAGTTGCTATCTCCGAACCACTTATCCGCGCTTGATATCCAATAGGATTAAAATTAACGCGCCTCAAGACGTGGAAATAATCCCTGAGCCGCGAGTGCTGGTCCCCATCCGATGGATCGGCTTTGGACCCTTACAGTACTCGTACAAGTAACCGTGGCAGGATTCGAGGATCCACCAAGTCAAAACAGTACGAGTACTGTAAAGTAATGTACGTTGCTGTGACATCGGGTAGTGCACAACAGTCAGATTCAGAGACTAATGCAAGGACAGCAGTTCAATGCTTGAAGTGAATTTGTTAATGGCCAAATTACCTAGGTAGCGCAATGAGCACTCTTGCCCCGCACACTGGGCTGAGGCTGATGCTGTCATTCAAATGCATGCAGATCCCACCCTCCCCATTATCCTCCCAGCACACCCAATCTGCTCCGCCACTCTCCCCCACGCTTCACCCATTCATCTTCTATGCACGTCTACGTATTCAACTTCCCCCCCTCAGAAACATTACCAACAATGCCCACCCATTCCCCCCCTTTCATCACCTCCTTTCCCAACTTCTTAATGAATCTTTACACAACACTTTTCACAATGGCCGCTCCTCTCAAGCATTGGAGATCCTGGTCACCATTTCGTCTCGATGCTCTCGGCCTTCTCACTATGCTGGGCGCTGACGAGATGTCCCGTGAGATTGGTTCACTCTCGGCCAACACCCTAGTATCCTGGATGTCTTTGCTCGGTGGAAATGTCGTACCATCAGATGCGTTCGTGGCTCCTCTGCACGGCTATACTCTCTACAACATCTCCGACGCCATTCAATCGACCTCGTTGGCAGGCTGGTTCTCCCGGTGGCTTCTCGCCCAACATCCCTCCCAGAACACTTCTCTCTTTGTTTGGAGTACGCGCTCCTACCCGCGCCATCATGGACACCGAGCCCTGGCGATTGGAACCATCGTCAACACGTGCATTTTAGCCCTGTCATTGCTTGTTGGGGATTATTATGGCTTGGCATCTGCGCTTTGCATGGATTTTGGAATTATCATTCGGGCTTATCTCGTTGCACAAAACCGGGATGCCATTGATCGAGCGGCTGCTGATACCTCGATTCACTCCCATGATCTCGTCAGAACCTTCATTATTCTTGCGAATGGAAAGGCTACCACTGTCATCGCTCCTCGCAACGTGGTCGTCAACTGCTTTCTGTCCACCCCCAAGATTGCGCATCCCACATTTTACGCTATCGCAAGAGCTATGGGATGGTTTGCTTTTGTTGGTCTTATTGTTACCGTCGGACAAGCTGTCTTGGTGGTGCAAATTGCCATAATAATCGTTACCGTTTCGGCTACTGTCTTGACGGCCTTTGGGATTGGCACCGTGGGCGATGGGGTGGGGAAGTCTTTACAAGTGGCTAGGTCTGAGCATCCCAATCGGCACGGAAGACGCGGTGAAGCGTATGCCATGCTGCATCTAAATAAGGAGGAGGAAGACACAATGATAGACTGGGCGCTATTTCCCCAAAGGCGAAATCAGAATTGGTGGAATCAGTACCGCACCTATAAAGCGATCGACAGTAAGATTATCGACGTCTTTGAAGACAGTGCGACAGAAGAGAAGACTCTTAAAGCGTCTTCGTTTCGTGGCTCGACCTTAACTGAGGAGAAATCTGCTGCCACCACCGCCAAGGTCCAAGAGCTAAAGACTGAATGAACGAGTAAAAGTTGCCTGAATGCTCATGAGTTGTTAACAACGAGCACGTCGAGTGGTTCATCAAGGGCTATCATTATTATCATCGGTTTTTGGTATTTGGTAGAAGCTTCGCATGGTGCGTGCATCAGCTGGGAAGTGGATCTGTTGCGGCCTGTCAATTACTCTATGTCTTGAGGGAGACGCGAGACAAGTGCTATGATCTCTTACCGTGTTGACTGTTTCTTCGAGCGCAACTGCCAAAGGTTCCGACATTGATACTGTACCTAATTCCGTCGCTTATTATTGTACCAGGAATGACAATCTTGTTTGAGAGGCCCTATCGATGGTACTATTGAGCCCGTGGTTAATGTATGGTGAGAAGCTTCCATCAAACAGCTCCGACTGCAGTGACGGCCGTATAGCAAACAGCCATGAAAATGATCCCTGCATAGGCAATCCTATCAAAACGACTTACATTGCTTGATCAGTAGAATGTGCTGGAATATTCATGAGATCCTTCAGACGTAAGTGTCTGTCTGCCTCGACCGTGAGTATTGGGATCTCCGGCTACCTGCAGCACGATCTCATCCACTCGTGTTGTCCAGTATGCCGCTCCATCACCTAGCGACTATCAGTCGATACATTCCAAGCCCAGGCAGCAAAACTTTGCGTGACCCGTTGACAAAGTCTGAGGCGTCTGAAGTGATTGGAGCACCGTTTGTACTTCAAGAACCCTAGCCCTACAAATGTCCTTCTCCATGACAAGCTGAACTTACCGAGCTCGCTCCGGCTCCTGCCTTCCTCATTCAACACCGAAATACTCACGTCGAAGATGTCTATCAAAGGTTTACAGCGACTATGATGGCGTCTGTGTCCGGGAACACGAGCAAGTGATAAATGTCTTACGAATACCATCAGATGTCCATTGCAAGCCACCTCGTGTCTTCGAAGTCGGTTTGCAGGCGAAACGAAGAATGGTGAACCCCTCGACCAAGATATATGCAAAAGGAAGAACGCGTTATGGAGAACGCGTGATGGAAGCACTCAAGAAGGTCGATCGTGAGACAAGCGGCCAGTTCGGGTTGAGGAAACTAGCTGTGGAGAAGTTCACCTTCGAGCTCCCGCAAGCACAGCTCGACGTCGGCACTGTGAGCGCAACGATCGACGACGAGGCCTGTGGTTTCATGATATCGAGCCACGCGTGTCATTTCCTCTTTCGGGAACCCACACGGCTGCCTCGGACACCCGTCGCCTCTAGAAGAAGACACGGAGGGTCCGCTGACCCCGGCGATGTGGAATGCATTTCTCAAGCCGCGTCTCTCACCTACGGAACCCTACCGGATCGATTCCCTCCGTATCACGCGAACCCTGGGTCACGAGGGGGGTTCCGCTACAGGTGCTGTGGATTACGTCTACCGAGCTGGGCGGGAAGTCATCGTTGGATGAGAGGATACGGGTAACTTTGTTGAGTCTTCGGTTTCTGGTGTGCCCGAGAGCGCTGAGGAGTCGCCGCCGATGGAGTCGTATGCCTTGCGGGCAAAGACGAGGCTTGGTGGCATCACACCGGGGCCGAGAGGTACGATGACGGGAGCTTCGATAGCCAAATAGAATACTAGAGTCACACTACACCTGCATCATCTCACCGATCGTTTCGCGGACCAGGTGCTCGTTATTAAATGACAAAGGGTGCTGGTTGGGAAGAATGGATACCAAAAAAGAACTCCGTAGATCTCTCTCGTTTCGCTGGATCTTCATTATCCTTCAATTCACTGTCCTCGGAGCATGCTTTCCTGCAAGTCTCGTCTTGGATGTCAGCCTCACATCCCCACGTGTTCCCTCCTTGAGGATCCATGTTCGATTCATCCGTGCGAATTGATCTGACATTGGATCAAATGGGACAGCTAGAAGCGCGTCACGCTCCTGATCCTTCGATACTACTCCGACTACTCTTCCCCAGAGAACTCATTCCCAAGCATACGTGACTCCTCACCTGTCCCAAATATCGAAGATTCATTCAATTCGGTGCCCATGCCAAGCCCTACAACTACAAGTAATTCAATGAGAGCGAGCAGCGGATGGAAAAGCCCCGGAGGCATTTGGTCTATCTTCAAGTCTGCCGCGGAAATCGCGAGTAACCATGATCTTGACTTCAAGGAGAAAATGCGGGAGAAGACGTGCATATAGCTTCCTCCATGTCCCGCGGTCGACGTCGTGAGTAGAGCCGCCCTGGTACTAGCATCGATCTTCCCACAAGCGCGCATCATGTGCCGCCAATTTTACACCAGCGAAGATCTTGTCCAGTTGGGCTTGACCATCTGTCGTGCGTACCGTCGAAGCTCTACATCTTGCTGCCGCCGTGCCAATCTCCGACAAGAGCGCACCTTCTGTCCTGAGTGTGGTGAAGCGGTTTGATGGTCCATCATCTATTCCTATGAGGAAAAAACAGCCCTTACTAGCAAGGGATCCGTGGTCACACCATGCTCGAGTGAACCATCACGGGGTCAGAATTGTCGTGGAAGCATCTGCTACGATACTGAGATAAGTGTCTGAGGCGCCCGTGCCGATGCCGTCGAATCCTTGATTGCCATTGCTGCCTCCCGGCTCAGCTGTACGTCCTCAAGAGCCACAATGATGGCTCTCGTGTTCCGGTATACAGCATCCATAGCCCCTATTGCGATTATCTTCTTGTTCATGTCATGCTGTGCGATGCATCATAGCTGATCAATCCATTACTCCTTCTAGGTGCTGGAATCCCTGGAACAGAGCAATGCGCATGTAAGATGATGATAGAATTCGGGAACCGAAGCTTCACGGCAGACCGGCGTTCGAGTCCAAGTCTCGTCAGGACAACGGTAGCTCACGGCGAGGAAAGCCTGCGGCTCAAGTCCCTTTTCAACGTCTAGTCGGAGAAGCCGGAAAAGTAGATCTGTAGTTGCCGTCTTTTGGAGTACATACCAGTCTGCAGAGGAGAGGTCAGTTCTGATGACCGCTTCGAGAAGCTTTGCTCTCCCGCTCTGCGATTCCTGTGATCTGTAGAGTCTTGTCCCAACAGACAGGCTTTGTAATGTGGAGATGTGGCGTAGATGTGATATGGTGGGGCTGCCTTCGCTTTCGAGCGTGTATCCATTCGGACAGCAGAGTTCAGCTTGCGTCGATATACACCCAGCATATACGGAAGCTCTTCGAAAAGGTCCATAACAGTTTTCCAGGCAGCTGGTCATGCCTGATTCCGTATCCGCCTCTGATACAGTGACACCTTTCGTGCAGCTGCACTAACATATAGCTCTCGAACTCTCTCAAACATACGGTATGTATTTCTGCTTCAAAAATGGTGTTGCCTATTCCCACTGAGTTGCATCGATTGGTAGGGCTACGTACTGCGACGTGCATTAGAGTCGAGCTACTGCAAGACGCCTGCACCTTACGCCGCCTCTCTTGGCCTCTGAGGCCGTCAAGGCGCAGGAGCCAGGGTCTCAATCTTCCCGAGCCTTACTTCTGATCTGCTTTCGTCTCACCAATCCAATCTCCAACCTGAAATCTATATCATATATGGATCAAGATCTTCAATATTGTAAACACCCCTACCGAATTGCAAATTCCTGTTCCGGTATCGGCTTAGTGAGTGCTTCGCCATTCATATGTCCATGAACGTAACACTCCCCTACGAACCTGTATCCACTGCTACCTACCCTCTGCAATAAGTACGGCGTCCTGCCTCCATGTAAAATAACAACGGCATGACCTATTCGCACTCCCGACTGAGCCAATCCCATATATTTATTTGAGGTGGTGAAGAATCGCCGGCCATAAGCGGCTTTGAGTTGGCCCTGCAGGAATTGGGTTGCCAGTGTTATTTCGTCTGCGACGTTCCTCTCATAGGCGGTATGGACAAAGTTTGGGTCGTTCACGCCCGCTATACGCCAGTACTTACGCCAAGCAGTGTAATGGGCCCGCAGCCTCTCTTGTGGAAGGCCGAGGAAGGAAGCATCGCCTGCAACTAGAGTTCTGATGAAAGCGTCTAAGATGTCTTCACCTGTAGGATAAACTTTGAGGTCGCGGGCCAACTTTTCCCACTGTCTTCCACGTTGGTCCGTTAGGAAATCTATCGCAGTATGAGCAATTCGAGTGCGTAACCTGACATTAGTTGTGGGTGGCTGTGGAAAAAGTGACCTTGGAGCTGGCACCGCTTCCATGAAGGGATCGCCCACGTATGCTATTTGATCGAACGCGATTCCGCGGGAAAGCAATGTAAGACCATCAGTAGAAAAAGTGCACGATGCCTGTGTTGATCCAGCTGCCTTCATTGTGGCAAATGCTGGATGTAGTACGAACGGAGATGAGGGCCTGTGCACTTCCCAATCTGGCACCCACGACGGAAGCTGACTATTCATGGGAAGCTCATTTCCTTCGAGACCCTCGATCTTTTTGTCTAGTTCTCGGTCTCGTTTCAAGCGGAATTGTCGATCCTCGACAGCGCTCAATACATCAAGGCTCCGATCTCTTTCGATCAAATGTTTTGTCAAAGTAGTGTAAACGTCAACTAAGGGTTTCTTGTAATTTGGTTTCAGCAAGCTGTACTCTGCATCTCCAGCAATACCAAGTAGAGCAAAAATCTTGTCTCTGTCATCTGTCGAATAGCTATCTCGAGCCTGTGACAGCAGCTCCAAGAGCAAATGGGGCGGTCCTTCACGAAATCTCTGGCCAAGGTCTGCAAACTTGATGGCTGTTTGTGGGTCGACACGCGTTATCGCAGTCAAAGAATGGTCTTCAATATATCTTGCTGTCGTAGTGAGATGCCACCATTGGCAATGGCTTGGCCCACATAGAACCGAGGCGCCTCTCGCCACCGTGACCTCTTGGATGACCCATACACGACTGAACCAAGGACGCCAGAACAAGGAATTTAGGGCTTCCCATGCTGGGCTGGAGTACTCTAGAAGAGCCAGGCCGCCGAGGTCCTGAGCTTTGACAACTTGTTTGGCGTTAACAGGGCTACGCGCCTGCTCAGTGGCAGCAGCAGCGACTATGCGAGAAACTAAATCAAAAGCAACGGCGCTGTCATGCGACTCTTCCCCGAGCCAAATGATAACGCTCTCAGCTTTGTGAAACAGCTTCCGCATCAATAGAACCTGGTCATTTCTCTCGGCGTTATTCACTTGACTGATACATATAGCGTCAATCCACAAGATTCGTTCTTCTGTCTCGTGCCGCAGTCTTTGAAGCGCCAACCATAAGCTCTCATGAATGGATACGTAATGGCCACCGCCCCTAATACTATTGCGTTCAACATCATCGCATCCAATCCGGTGTTCGATCTTTTGACCCCACGTATAAGACAAGGCTTGGAATGCAGGAGCTTGTTCAATTTCATGGGTGGACATTAGACATTGTACCGGCATTGGTAAAGAACCTGGTTGTAGGCGTAGAAGTCGTATGGAGCTAGCAGACGGCAAGGGCAGGTATTGATACACTAATTCACCCCTCCAAGATGTTAGCAATATCAATGTAGGGAAGACACGGACTTATGGTACAGAAACTCGTTTGCACGTGCAGAGGTCTTCTCAACTATAGGGCGAGAGTGTCGCTCGAACCTCCATTCCCCGTTCACGTTCTATCACGTGTAAGCCCGAAGGATTTGGTACTGGAAATAATGCAGAGTGTACCCTCCGGGCATTCTTTCTGCCCCAATTCCTGTGGGAAGTACTGTCAGAAGGGTTCCGCACATTTATAAGCTAAAAATGCACACAAAATTCGTTGAGGCTGTCTCAAGCACCAGTGTATATGACTTACCCACCTAGAGGTCTTAGTATCTTATCCCCAATGCCATCTCTAATTCTATCATAAGTTTGTGTTGTAGCCCACGCCGTCCGCAGTCTCCAGATCCACTCGGGCAAAATACGATCAGGCTCGGGAGCTTGGAATTGTGTTGACTTTTTCATCATAAAAGCTATCGACAACAGCGAGGCCTGCGTGTGGCCACGGACAGTCCCCAACTTTGTGCAATAAGCTTCACTCGCTTCCTCCCAACCGATCGCGATTTGTGTTTCTAAGATCTTTGCAACGTGCTTAGCCTCTTCAACGTACTGCCCACGTCCGAGAGGATCCTTGGCTAAGATGTAGAGTGTGTCTCGGCGAAGAAATTTATCTCAGCTGGATACCCGAGAACAATCTGTACAATGACCATGAAGATCTCACCGTAGTACTCCGCGGTCCTGGTGACTTAAATATTTCTCAAGGCCTCAGATACATGAGATGGAGCTCTCTCAGTCTTCAAAGCCACAATGGACTGCTTCTTCGGATGCTTTTAAACCTTAGTCTATGCTAAGAAAAATACCAGTAGCGGGATTATAAGGCCGCGCTAGATTTGTATGGGGGTTATATTAAAATAAGGCGCGGCCTTATAGTAATCTCGCTATCACCATTACACCGTTACTAGATCTCGCTATTATCGATAAGGCTATTCGTATAATAAAGGCTCTCCGCCTTTCCGAGATATATAGAGCGAAAAGAAGACTCACCGCCATCGAAGCTAGGGATTTTTACGAGGAAGAGAACTTTATCGATAGTATTATCTATATAGTCTAATCTAATCCTCTTTACTCCGTCTCGCTAGCGCCTCTAGCCGAGCTATATTATATTTATCGCCGACGAGCTTCTTTACTTACTAGGCGGAAATACGCTTTCTTATATTATCTTCTTAATTTATTATACTCGAAGTATTTATAAATAACTTTAGTATTATTAACGCGATCTTCGAGAGTATTATAGATACGAGTTTACTACGTTTAATTCTCTTTTATAACTCTTTCTACTTATTAAGACTATTAGAGGCCTTTCGCTTAATAGGGGGATAATAGAAAGTAGAAAGAGTATTAAATAATAGCGACGGCGATCTAGACGCGTTAGAGTATATATCGCGACTTTACTTAGTATTACTAAGATTACTCTTCTTCTATAGTAAGGCTATATTATCTTTCGAGAATCTCTAATAGAGGATGATCTCGATTAATATCTTTAAAGTTACTATCGTATTAATTCAACTTCTTCTAAGTATTCTCTATATTCTCGAAGCCTTCGTATTACGAGAGTTGACGAACAACGCGTTTTTAAGAGGTTATAGTAAGCGAGATAAGGCGGAGTTATAAATAGCTTTAAAAAAATTAATAAACGATAGCGAGATATAAAGAAGAAGAGTATAATAGATAAGAAGAGCTATTAAATTACTATAGAAGAGTCTTATTCGTATATATTCGAAAGTACTCGATATCTAATAATACTCGATTTAAAATTCGATAAGTCTAACGTAATATTAAAATATAGATATTATTTTTAATTTTACTATATATCTATCTGAATAAGACGTTATACTATATCGAGACTCTATAGTATAATAGAATATTATAAAAAATAGTCTACTTATTTATAGCTAGCCACTAGCTTTATTAATAGATAAGTTTAACCCTCTTAATCGCCTAAAAACCATAGATATAATTATCTATAAATTATCTCGTTTAAATTTCTATATAATAAATTATTAGTCTCTTTAGATCATTTATAATCTAATATTTAAATTCTATTTATATTTACTATATCTCGACGCGATTATTATTACGAGCGTATTCTTAATATATTACTTAGCTCTATAGCTAGCGAGCCTTAACGAAGATATTCTCTATTATATTATATCTCCTTTTCACCTATATAGTTTAATAGCCTTATTATTCTAGTTCTATCTTACTTATATTAGTATTATACTTATACTAATTCTAATATTATAATAAAGCTTCTTTATATACTCTTCTATTAAAATATAAAGATAGAATACTTAGTTATTAACTATAGAGTTACTATAAAGAAAAGAGCGACTAGATATAAATACGCTAAGGCGTATTATATAATTATATTACGTGATCGCTAAGACGCTAAGAGTTATATAATCCGAATTTTAATACTCTTCTTTATACGTATTCTCTTATAGATAAAATTAAATAAATACGAAGTTTAATATTAACGATATTAAAACCGGGTAGATAAGATAAAATAACTTATCGATTTTTATCGGGTTATTAAAGTAAGTTAGCGTCGGGTAATTAAGGTGAAATTTAAGTTAAATAATTAAGATGAGTTAGTGCCGAGTAGCTAGCGTAAAAGTATACCCTCTATATTCTCTATACCTCTATTTCTCTATACGAACGAAATTAAAAAATATAAGATTTAAAGTTCGTAACGTTTAAAATAGGGTAGATAAAGTAAAAAGTCGAAATTTGAAAACGACTATATTAAACTATAACCCCCACTTAAATATAACTCAAATTTCACCTTTTATTAAAAAGCGGTTTTTTAGAAATTTTATTTTCAGATTATTTAATATATATTAAAAATCGATTAATTTAAGATCGAAGGATATATGTAAGAGTAGCTAAATAAAATAATTAGAAGAAATTCTTCTAGCTATATATCGCTGACTATAAAGCCTCTATAAGGCTATTTTAGATAACTAGTTCTTAATAATAGTAGCTAGTAGCGATAAATTTGAGATATAATATTCGAGACATTAGTAATAAATAGATATAAGTTCTTCGAAAGAGTCTTAGAAGTTTGATAGCGATAATAGTAATAGCGTTAAAGAAATAGCTATTTCGATACGAAATGGCGAGTTTATAGAGTGCCATATCTAATATAGCGACTCGACGAGCGATTCGAGTAAATCATCTATAATACGGGGATTAATAAAATAGCTTCTCTAGAGTAGTCGATAGCAAATAGCTTCTCTATATTAAGACTATTAAGTTATAGTTATAAGCGATATTTTAGCTTAATAAGTCGATAAAAACTCTTAAATTTATTCTTATAGAGGGTCTTAATAAGATTATCGACTATTTATTAATTAATAAAGACGTAGTCTAGAGCGATATTCTTAGCGATAACTTATTCTCGCATATAGTAATATTGAATATTAATGTATTTAATATGAGTATAGAATTAAGAATTCTTAACTAGTACTATAGCGCCTTAATTATTATAAAAGATAATTATTATTTATACTTATTTATTACTAAAATTAAGCTAATTTAATAGATTATATAGTTAAATTACTTTCTTAATAACTTATATTTAATCGATATATTTAATCTTATAGATCGAGAGTATTATAATAAGTTATCGCTTCGATAATTAACTAATAATCTCGCTATCGATATTAAATATATATCTAGAAATAAAGTAATAAATATCTTAATTATCGACTTAATTAGCGTTAATATAATCGCTTAAGAGTTTTAGATCTCCTCTAAAAATAAGTTAATAGTTAACGATTTATCTAAAATAGCGAAAGATCCGCTTAACCGCTTTTTAATAGGCTTTATTAAGATTTAAATTATATCGAGATATTATTAAGACCGCGAATATAATATTTGATCTTATACTAAATATTATGTATATTAATAACTCTATTATTAACTAATACTCGATATAAGAGACTTTAGAGACTTAAAAGTTCTCTTCGAATATTTAATATCTTTCGATATTTATAAAAGTAAATATATCTTTAAATTCTTATATATTATATTTAGTAAGAAACTTTTTAATATACTTTATTTAGTCGAGTTAAATAATGTAATTAGTATAATCTCTAATAATAGTTATATTTAAATAATAGATATATAGTTTTAAGTTAGTTATTTTAAAATAATTATTAAGCTTATTTTTAATATTCTAAATTTCTACTTTATTAGAGTTAGCTAAGAGAATATTATTTATATAGATTATAATAATTATAATATTATTAATAAAAATTAAGAAATTAGTCGTAATAGACTTAAAGCTTAATTTCTTTAGATATACGAAGAGAGTATTATATTAAACTCTTAAGAATTACTTTAGACCGTATAACGCCTTCTTTAACTTATATATCTTATATTTATTATTACTCTTAAAGCCTATAGACTACGTTATATAGATGATTTTCTTTATATTACTATAGAGAAAAGTAATTTTAATATCTATTTACTTTAATTCTTAATCGAGGATTATCGCTAAAGTAAAGATCGCTTTATAGTTTATAAACTTAATTACGAAGGCGAAAGTCTTATTAAAATTTACGCCTTCGCGCTATTTAAAATTACGAATTACTTATTAAACTTTATATCGTATAAACTTCTCTATAAGACCTCGCTTAAGTTTATAAATTTATTTATTATCTAGAGTATATATATTCGAAAGTAGATTTATTAAGATTTAAATATCGTTAGCTATAAGAAAGTTAACTTCTTTCTATATAGTAAGTTTTCATTTTATTTTCTAATATTTATTTACTATTATCTCTTAATAGATTTAAGACTTAAATAACTTGAGAGTATTAGCTTTAATTAAAAGGGTAAATAAATTTAGCGAAAGATTACGATAAGCTCTAAGAACTTTATATCGCTTAAATTACTTTAAGAGAGACTATTAATTAATTCTAGATCTAATTATAAGTCTTATTAGAGTTTATATTAAAGACGCCGAGACTATTAAGATAGATTTCGCGAGTATATTTTCGCTTAAAATTTTAAGTAATTTTAAATCTATCTCTTTTAAAGATATCTATAACGATATCTATAGCGATATTTATAACGAAGATATCTATAGAGATACTTTCTTAATAAGGATTTATATAATAATAACGAATTCTCTTCTAACGGCTTTAGCTAGGGTAATTATTACTTCGATAGATATTTTCTATCTTATTCTTTTCAAAACTCTCTTCTTTAAAATTAATATTAAAAAAATAATCGATAACTCGCGTATAATCTTTTATAACGTATCTATATAACGCTTATTTCTATTCTTAAATAAATTTTAATTATTAATCTCTTTTTTTAGCGAGATTAAGCTTAAATAAGATAGATTTAAAAAAAAAAATTATTAATTTAAATTATATTTAAATAGATCTAAATTTTAC